CAACAGGTTATTGTCGCTATTTGCATATATAAACACAATAAAAGTGCCGTGAAGTCGAGTACTGTTTGTTCTTTCGGATTATACTGGCTCCAGTTTAGACATACATATACTGCTTATTTTTTAAGGTAGTAATATAACCACTCAGCACAGCATTTATACATGCAAATAGGCCGGCAGTACGGCTCGCAATTTGCTTTTCAAACGGCCAAAGATGTAATTATTTTTTCACGATCATCCTCGCGGGTACCGTTTGCATTTCTCATCAGATTATAAAATTGTCCGTGCATAAACAGTGCCTTGCCCTTACTTCATCTTAGACTTAGTTTTTTATACACTACAAGTAAAATTATGTACTCACAGACACAATAACTCGAAATTTTGTATGGTAAATTCAGTCATTTTTTGAATAAAGTAAATCTTTACTAAGAAATTGGAGTAAATTTGAAACATTACTCATTAGTCAAAAGTTTGCCATAATTTATGGCATAAATTTCAGTGAGGGATTTTACTCAATGAAAATTTCGAGTCACTGTTTTCGAGTCGGGGACTTTAATTGTGCAGTGTATAAGATGTCTTTAACACAACAGCATAACATGATTGTATTAATATGTATTATATTGAAACTGTATTTTCATATTTTAGCTTAGGTGACTGTGTCAAGTTGGGTTAAAAGGATAATTATATATACGTCATTTATAGTCAAATTTCTGGTGAGTGTAAAATTTTTGTTGTTTCATTACATGTTTTTGACACAAACGAGTATATGTGAAGTTTGCATTTATATACGTGCATGTCATTCGTGGTTTCACCTCTATAAGCGTTATACGACCTCTATAACCGACCTGACCGCGTAGCTCAGTTGGCAGAGAATGGGGCTAGTATTCCAAAGGTATAGGTTCGATTCCCACCGTGGCCGGGCATATTTTTCAAGCTTGCCCGGTGTGGATATACACTCAGAGTAACATCACAAACGTCATATTCACCTGAGTACACAACACCAACGTTACCACAGGAAAAATAATATCAGAACTGTTCACAATTCAGGAGCTAGAAAGTTAAACTATTCATTCTACTAGATAATTTTAGTGTCAAAGTTTGGAAAGTGCTAAATTAAAGGCCCGTTTACACTTTCGCTGATTTCTAGTGCAATTTTCTTCCCCTGGTGGATGTGAACGAGTGGATGAGCTACAAATGTTCATTCATCTTACTCGTTTACATCCATCAGAAGACGAAAATCGCACTAGAAATCGCAGCGACAATTCGCAACTGCACTGATGTTTTTATGAAAAGTTTATTGGCTCGCCAACCACTTGCATGCATTGCTACATGATTGTGCTTAGAGAACCATGCACTCTACAGCAGTACAGGCAGATGAGTTGTTTATCAGAAGGTCAAACTTAATTCCTCATGAATGATATTAGAGAGTTTAAGATTTACGACGCGGCAACTGGCAAGTCAAGCCATTTCATGCAACTAGGTATAGATAAAAAGTATAAATATAATTTGTGGTCCCAAGGAATATTTTCAACGGCGTTATTATTCTGAGTATGCTAGCTGGGCATTATCATGTCTTCCAGCTCGTGAAAGACTGAAAGCTTATAGCGACGTTAGATGTGTTACATCATAGATAATCCAGAAGACATGTCTTCTCTATGATTATGGTTACACAAAGTCAGCCTTATTTGCGCGCGGAGCGGAATTTTTCTTTGTCTTGTGCAGGGCGCTTATATATATATATATTGTCTTGTGATTTCTCGGGTGGAACTAATTAGAAAAGAAAACGAAAAATTCCGCTCTAGCTTTACTGTTTGTAAAGTTATTTTAATTAAACATTTATATTACAGTAATCAGAGTACTTAGCGCTCATTTTTGAGCTGAAATTGAGACGCGTCGTCGACTTTGCCGCGTCGTGGATCTTAAACTCGCTATTTACACGCGTAAACAACTTGAAAACAACTTGATGCACATCCTATTTGGCGCGTCAGTCTTCCTACGCATGGCCAACGACACGAGTGCATTACAGTTACTATGTAGTGTAACTGTGTAACACTTGTCCGCCATGCCAGATGTCTGACTCATAGTCTATATTCGTCTACTTTCGTCTGATGATGTAATAAGGGTTACGAGGTAATTTTCATACTAACATATAATTTTTTTCCTAAAGCTCGAGTAATACGAGCAACAAAATTGCTGCAACTTGCAACAAAATGCGATTTCTGCGCATGTTAATTGAAAATGTTTACACATACATTACAAATCACAAGGCAACATCTGTCGACATTTACATACATACATACATACATATACATACATCAACTTTGTTGCAAGTTGCAGCAATTTAATTTTGTTGCCCGTATTACTCCGCCTTAAGATTCTAACTATTTAACACAGGGTCTTTTTTAAGAATTCGTGCATGGGGAGGGTGGGGGCATCTACAAAAAGGGGCCGCATTATACTGAGTGTGCACGAGAAATGACAGATGGTTGTTGGTGACAAAACGTTTGGTGTTGCCTGCGTCGCAGACTTAAACTTACCGTCCCAAAGTTTCACCCACCGTCTGCGACGCAGGCTGCGTTTCGTGTGGTATCGTATGTAATAGTAGGGGATCTGGGGGCATTCTCCTCCAGAAAAGTTTTGTATTTTTCTAGGCCCTAGGACTGCATTTTGTGCGTTTTCTGAAATAGATTTTTGGATATATATACAGCGTTACATTATACTGTAGATAGACTGAGTCTTCAGTTAAGGCTTGCATGGTATGTTTATGTAAATACCACAACTCGGTCACTAACTTGTTTAGCCTTGTCTTCCAACAACTCAAATCTTTTGGTCAGAATGTGCTATGCACTGGGAAATTTTTAAAATCTAAGATATTTACAACACAATGTTTAGCATTCTTAAAAACACATTGAATCATTTGAAGATAAAACTTTTATCATAAAGGACATGACATAAGAGTCACAAAACAAATATCAGTTAGTAGATGATGAAACCCCCCTTCTAAATTCCATTTTTATCGTGCGATGTTTTGCTTATATTTTACGGTAAAAGGACTTTGACTGGGGGCGGGGCAAAATGGTTGAGTGGGGCCAACCATAGGGGGGGGGGGGGGGCATTGGCCCCCGCAGTTACTATAGTTAATAAAGGCCTGGAGAAAATTATTTTCTTATAGCTGGGAGAAAAACATGGTGTAAAAATTTATTGCAAATCAACTGAGTATTTTTGTAAATCTATACCAGTAAAATACATGAAAAGAGTCGGTCAATTTTCCATCCATAGTTAATTAATAGAAGAGATGGTTTGGAAACTTACAATATAAGTTACATAACTTATTATCTATGTATTTGTGTTTAGGCTTATTCAGAATATGATCCGTCATCGTCACGTGCGTATTGTATTTTTGCGCAACTATACTATGAATAGCAATGTTTTAGGAAAGTTAGCTGTCCGTGACTTATGTTGGATTTGCCAAAAACGCAATACGCACGCGACGATGAAGGACCACGCATAAACGCGTTGACTACATAGATAATGCGATATATTTCCAAACCATCTCTTCTATTAGCTATATACTCTGCCGAAAGTCGTGGGTTTTCTCCAGGTAGTCCGATTTCGGAATGTCGGATGGGTTGAGATTAGCTCCTGAGTTAGATGTGCTCCGTGATCGGACATGAGTCATAAGCCTAAGGTGACTGCCAAAGCCTTCGACTCCGTCAGGCTGAGCTACGTCCTTCGCATTTTAGCCTTATCGCAGCCTGACGAAATTTCGGGCTGCGAAGAGGCTATCGCAATTCAGCTTATCTTTCAGCTGTAGGATAATTTGCACACCCGCGCTTAAATCACACTATATATGTAATATGTGTGTGTCTAGATCCATAGGCGTACCGGGCGGGGGACGGGGGGGGGCGGTAGCCCCCCCAGTTTTTTGGGCAGTTGGGCAATATTCGATCAACAGTCGGGCAATTTTGGTTTGCAATAAAAAAAAATGGGATAAATTCTGTCAATTTTGTCTAAAATTAAGTCAATTTTTTGGCAAATTTTGTGATTTTTCGAGAATTTGTGTGATGTTCCGAAAAATATTGGTTGTCCGGAAAATTTTTTTGACCCCTTAAATGGTACACTGACCGAAATTTTTTTGGCGACGGGGGGGGGGGGGTCGCAAAAATAATTTTTCCGGAAAAAAATTTTTGGTACTAGTCGGGCAGAATCGCGAAAGTCGGGCAATTTTCTTTCCGCCCCCCTATTTTTTTCCTTCCGGTACGCCCATGTCTAGATCGCTGTGTTGTATATAGTATTTCTAGTATTTCTAGCATTTCATGCTAGCATGCAAGTGCATGCAGCAACGAAAACACTTCGCTACGCGGAAAGATCTTTTTAACTGGTTACGAACTTACGAAACACTTTGCGCGCGTTATTCACCTTCGTATTGGTGGTTATTAATTAATTAATGCTCGATAACGGCATGGCGTCTGTGGCTCAGTTGGTTAGAGCTCGACAACTGGCCTCTGTAGCTCAGTTGGTTTAGAGCTCGACAACTGGCCTCTGTAGCTCAGTTGGTTAGAGCTCGACAACTGGCCTCTGTAGCTCAGTTGGTTAGAGCTCGACAACTGTCTCTCTGTAG